CCCTCCAAAACGCCATAACGCCATTCTTCGTCACTTTTTGGGAAGAATTTTCCTCGAGAGTCTGCTTTTCTGCTGTGATTTACTCTCTGGAGTCTTAAGACTCTAGACATTTGGCACCAGTATTCCAAATGGCTATGTTGCATTTTGGAAAGCAAGTCTTTGACTTCAACACCTATACATACAAACACAGGGGCCCCACTACACAATAAAACTCTAAGAAAAAGCATGAAATTAAACATGCACAACTCAACTCACAAAACCCCAACAGCGGACCCTCAGAGAACATCCCGTCCCGGCCGTCGTCAATACCTGCAAGTACACTCGGACAAGAGACAGGGAAGAAAAAAAAAACTGCAAAAGAAAAAAGAGAGGGTTAGTCTGTGCACTAATGAACTTGATTTCAACATCAAATCAAAGAGTTTCCCTCCAAAACGCCAGAACGCCATTCTTCGTCACTTTTTGGGAAGAATTTTCCTCGAGAGTCAGCTTTTCTGCTGTGATTTAATCTCTGGAGTCTTAAGACTCTAGACATTTGGCACCAGTATTCCAAATGGCTATGTTGCATTTTGGAAAGCAAGTCTTTGACTTCAACACCTATACATACAAACACAGGGGCCCCACTACACAATAAAACTCTAAGAAAAAGCATGAAATTAAACATGCACAACTCAACTCACAAAACCCCAACAGCGGACCCTCAGAGAACATCCCGTCCCGGCCGTCGTCAATACCTGCAAGTACACTCGGACAAGAGACAGGGAAGAAAGAAAAAAAACTGCAAAAGAAAAAAAGAGAGGGTTAGTCTGTGCACTAATGAACTTGATTTCAACATCAAATCAAAGAGTTTCCCTCCAAAACGCCATAACGCCATTCTTCGTCACTTTTAGGGAAGAATTTTCCTCGAGAGTCAGCTTTTCTGCTGTGATTTACTCTCTGGAGTCTTAAGACTCTAGACATTTGGCACCAGTATTCCAAATGGCTATGTTGCATTTTGGAAAGCAAGTCTTTGACTTCAACACCTATACATACAAACACAGGGGCCCCACTACACAATAAAACTCTAAGAAAAAGCATGAAATTAAACATGCACAACTCAACTCACAAAACCCCAACAGCGGACCCTCAGAGAACATCCCGTCCCGGCCGTCGTCAATACCTGCAAGTACACTCGGACAAGAGACAGGGAAGAAAGAAAAAAAAACTGCAAAAGAAAAAAAGAGAGGGTTAGTCTGTGCCACTAATGAACTTGATTTCAACATCAAATCAAAGAGTTTCCCTCCAAAATGCCATAACGCCATTCTTCGTCACTTTTTGGGAAGACTTTTCCTCGAGAGTCAGCTTTTCTGCTGTGATTTACTCTCTGGAGTCTTAAGACTCTAGACATTTGGCACCAGTATTCCAAATGGCTATGTTGCATTTTGGAAAGCAAGTCTTTGACTTCAACACCTATACATACAAACACAGGGGCCCCACTACACAATAAAACTCTAAGAAAAAGCATGAAATTAAACATGCACAACTCAACTCACAAAACCCCAACAGCGGACCCTCAGAGAACATCCCGTCCCGGCCGTCGTCAATACCTGCAAGTACACTCGGACAAGAGACAGGGAAGAAAGAAAAAAAAACTGCAAAAGAAAAAAAGACAGGGTTAGTCTGTGCACTAATGAACTTGATTTCAACATCAAATCAAAGAGTTTCCCTCCAAAACGCCATAACGCCATTCTTCGTCACTTTTAGGGAAGAATTTTCCTCGAGAGTCAGCTTTTCTGCTGTGATTTACTCTCTGGAGTCTTAAGACTCTAGACATTTGGCACCAGTATTCCAAATGGCTATGTTGCATTTTGGAAAGCAAGTCTTTGACTTCAACACCTATACATACAAACACAGGGGCCCCACTACACAATAAAACTCTAAGAAAAAGCATGAAATTAAACATGCACAACTCAACTCACAAAACCCCAACAGCGAACCCTCAGAGAACATCCCGTCCCGGCCGTCGTCAATACCTGCAAGTACACTTGGACAAGAGAAAGGGAAGAAAAAAAAAACTGCAAAAGAAAAAAAGAGAGGGTTAGTCTGTGCACTAACGAACTTGATTTCAACATCAAATCAAAGAGTTTCCCTCCAAAACGCCATAACGCCATTCTTCGTCACTTTTTGGGAAGAATTTTCCTCGAGAGTCAGCTTTTCTGCTGTGATTTACTCTCTGGAGTCTTAAGACTCTAGACATTTGGCACCAGTATTCCAAATGGCTATGTTGCATTTTGGAAAGCAAGTCTTTGACTTCAACACCTATACATACAAACACAGGGGCCCCACTACACAATAAAACTCTAAGAAAAAGCATGAAATTAAACATGCACAACTCAACTCACAAAACCCCAACAGCGGACCCTCAGAGAACATCCCGTCCCGGCCGTCGTCAATACCTGCAAGTACACTCGGACAAGAGACAGGGAAGAAAGAAAAAAAACTGCAAAAGAAAAAAAGAGAGGGTTAGTCTGTGCACTAATGAACTTGATTTCAACATCAAATCAAAGAGTTTCCCTCCAAAACGCCATAACGCCATTCTTCGTCACTTTTAGGGAAGAATTTTCCTCGAGAGTCAGCTTTTCTGCTGTGATTTAATCTCTGGAGTCTTAAGACTCTAGACATTTGGCACCAGTATTCCAAATGGCTATGTTGCATTTTGGAAAGCAAGTCTTTGACTTCAACACCTATACATACAAACACAGGGGCCCCACTACACAATAAAACTCTAAGAAAAAGCATGAAATTAAACATGCACAACTCAACTCACAAAACCCCAACAGCGGACCCTCAGAGAACATCCCGTCCCGGCCGTCGTCAATACCTGCAAGTACACTCGGACAAGAGACAGGGAAGAAAGAAAAAAAAACTGCAAAAGAAAAAAAGAGAGGGTTAGTCTGTGCCACTAATGAACTTGATTTCAACATCAAATCAAAGAGTTTCCCTCCAAAATGCCATAACGCCATTCTTCGTCACTTTTTGGGAAGACTTTTCCTCGAGAGTCAGCTTTTCTGCTGTGATTTACTCTCTGGAGTCTTAAGACTCTAGACATTTGGCACCAGTATTCCAAATGGCTATGTTGCATTTTGGAAAGCAAGTCTTTGACTTCAACACCTATACATACAAACACAGGGGCCCCACTACACAATAAAACTCTAAGAAAAAGCATGAAATTAAACATGCACAACTCAACTCACAAAACCCCAACAGCGGACCCTCAGAGAACATCCCGTCCCGGCCGTCGTCAATACCTGCAAGTACACTCGGACAAGAGACAGGGAAGAAAGAAAAAAAAACTGCAAAAGAAAAAAAGACAGGGTTAGTCTGTGCACTAATGAACTTGATTTCAACATCAAATCAAAGAGTTTCCCTCCAAAACGCCATAACGCCATTCTTCGTCACTTTTAGGGAAGAATTTTCCTCGAGAGTCAGCTTTTCTGCTGTGATTTACTCTCTGGAGTCTTAAGACTCTAGACATTTGGCACCAGTATTCCAAATGGCTATGTTGCATTTTGGAAAGCAAGTCTTTGACTTCAACACCTATACATACAAACACAGGGGCCCCACTACACAATAAAACTCTAAGAAAAAGCATGAAATTAAACATGCACAACTCAACTCACAAAACCCCAACAGCGAACCCTCAGAGAACATCCCGTCCCGGCCGTCGTCAATACCTGCAAGTACACTTGGACAAGAGAAAGGGAAGAAAAAAAAAAACTGCAAAAGAAAAAAAGAGAGGGTTAGTCTGTGCACTAACGAACTTGATTTCAACATCAAATCAAAGAGTTTCCCTCCAAAACGCCATAACGCCATTCTTCGTCACTTTTTGGGAAGAATTTTCCTCGAGAGTCAGCTTTTCTGCTGTGATTTACTCTCTTGAGTCTTAAGACTCTAGACATTTGGCACCAGTATTCCAAATGGCTATGTTGCATTTTGGAAAGCAAGTCTTTGACTTCAACACCTATACATACAAACACAGGGGCCCCACTACACAATAAAACTCTAAGAAAAAGCATGAAATTAAACATGCACAACTCAACTCACAAAACCCCAACAGCGGACCCTCAGAGAACATCCCGTCCCGGCCGTCGTCAATACCTGCAAGTACACTCGGACAAGAGACAGGGAAGAAAGAAAAAAACTGCAAAAGAAAAAAAGAGAGGGTTAGTCTGTGCACTAATGAACTTGATTTCAACATCAAATCAAAGAGTTTCCCTCCAAAACGCCATAACGCCATTCTTCGTCACTTTTTGGGAAGAATTTTCCTGGAGAGTCAGCTTTTCTGCTGTGATTTACTCTCTGGAGTCTTAAGACTCTAGACATTTGGCACCAGTATTCCAAATGGCTATGTTGCATTTTGGAAAGCAAGTCTTTGACTTCAACACCTATACATACAAACACAGGGGCCCCACTACACAATAAAACTCTAAGAAAAAGCATGAAATTAAACATGCACAACTCAACTCACAAAACCCCAACAGCGGACCCTCAGAGAACATCCCGTCCCGGCCGTCGTCAATACCTGCAAGTACACTCGGACAAGAGACAGGGAAGAAAGAAAAAAAAACTGCAAAAGAAAAAAAGACAGGGTTAGTCTGTGCACTAATGAACTTGATTTCAACATCAAATCAAAGAGTTTCCCTCCAAAACGCCATAACGCCATTCTTCGTCACTTTTTGGGAAGACTTTTCCTCGAGAGTCAGCTTTTCTGCTGTGATTTACTCTCTGGAGTCTTAAGACTCTAGACATTTGGCACCAGTATTCCAAATGGCTATGTTGCATTTTGGAAAGCAAGTCTTTGACTTCAACACCTATACATACAAACACAGGGGCCCCACTACACAATAAAACTCTAAGAAAAAGCATGAAAGTAGTGTGTAGGGTCTTCATCGGACAGACAAAAGAATTTTATGCATAATGCACAAAGACAAAGGACTCATTAGCATATCAATGAAACCAATTAGCATATGGATGGATGATGTTAGCATAATAAAAGAGCGCATGGGCGTGTGTAAGTTTTACCGGACAAAGGATGGGTCTAAAAATGTATTGGACAAAGGGGGGCAGCCCACCCGGCTAGATGGAATAGCGGACAGAGGAAAGACCTGAACCGGAATAGTGGACAAAGGGAGACTTGAGCCGAAATAGCGGACAAAGGGAGACTTGAGCCGAAATAGCGGACAAAGGGAGACTTGAGCAAGGTTATCGGACAAAAGAAGCAAGCGTGATAAATAGGCCGCTGGGTAGAAGTGTTTGGTCATACCGCTTCAGTTCTGTAATATCGACGACATCATCAAACCTTGTAAACAAGATGGCTGCACCAGAGAGTTTCTACACTGCGCCTACCTCATCACTGCCGTCATATGACGCGGCCGGTAGTCGTAAAGAAGTACGCGAGTACGCACCAGCGAAGCCCGAATGGTTAGCCAATGCAGACCCCCAGCGACTTGAGCGACTGGAGCAGCGCATGATGACTCGTGCTGAAGATCGAAGTGCACCGTTCCCAAATTCTGACCCAAGCAAGCGTCGCCGAGCTGAGACTATCCCGTCCGCTAGGTTCGAGCTGACCGACGTCCGTCACGCCGTGGTAGAACCTTTCAAGGGCCAGATTTACATCAAAATTCGCGAGTTTGTCCATGTGAAGGGTAAAGACTTTTGGAGCAGTCCGCGAGGCATAAACCTGAGGGTCGACGAATGGAAGAAACTGGTAGAAGTAATGCCTGCCATCACCGAGGCTGTGGAAGACATGGAGGTAAGAAATTACTCATGTAAATAAAGTCTTCATTACGAATTGCTTTTTTTGTGTGTCAGAGTTAAAAATGTGTTTGATTTCAAAAGTGTCACATTACTCTTTTTTTTTTTAAACATTAATAAACTTTTTGTTTTGTTCTTTTATTTTTTTTGTCCTTTTACAGGATTTTTCTTTCCAACGGGATCAAGGAAGCAAGAAGGTGAAACGTGACAGCGATGCTCAGAGTGATGAGGCTACGCCAGATCCGGGGGATGGCTTTCCATGGGGGTATACGGGTGACGCTGTACCATACACCAAGCCCAGCGGGACACCGGAGGAGGAGAAGGAACGTGAGGCCTGTAAAGACCTTGCATTCAACATTATTCAGGCGATATTCGTTCCTTGCATTCTTAAGAAAGTAGATGAAATTTGTAGGGAACAATGCTATGGATGTAATCTGCCAATAGAGAAAGACTTCACCCAGAAAAACCACGAGTGTATAATGTTGGACATGTCTGAAAAGGTGGAAAAGTTCTTTGATCATGCTGTAGATAACATTTTAGAAACTGAGTTAGGGAAATGTAGATCCGAGTGGAATTTAACTGCTAAAGACAACAATCGGATTGTTTCATGCTATTCGACTATTCATGCCAGAAATCGTCTTTTTACCAAATATGTTAATATGCATGTCGAAAAGAAAGTCGATGAACCTGAAAATGGTAGAGCCGTTTTGTACAACATTTGTCATGCTGATATATGTTTCCAACAACAGATGTTGGTTTAACTGTTATGTTTACATTCCTTAGGGAATCGCAACAAGAATTCAATTTACAGTGTTTTACTTCATGATTGTTGACTGACTTGATTACTCTATCCAGTTTAACTTTGTTTTGTTTTTTTCTTTTGGATTCTGATAGTTAGCTTTTATTAAATGTTTTCATAGTTTTGATAAAAAACAATTGTGTTTAATAATTTGAACTAATTGGAATTTTAAAAAAGCCTTGTGTATAAAAATTTGAACTACATGAAAGTAAAAAAAAAAAGATTGTGTTTAAAAAAAAAAAAAAATTGTGTCTGTAATGGTTTAAAATAAATTGGAATAAAAATAAAAGTAATTTTAAACAGAAATAAAAAGATGACAAATCTCAAAAGTGTGATTTTTATTGCAAAGACTTTAAAAAAAAAAATTAAATTAAAGAGGTGAATAAATGTAATAAACTGTCATTTTTAACTAATGCGTTGATAAGACAGGATCATGGATGATCGCAAAAGTTACTTGAAGACGTTATATTATGACATTGGGCGTGAAAGCGGTTTGAGTAGTATTGAGAAATTGTATCGCGCTGTCAGGAACGATGGAAAGTACAAAATTACGCGCGAACAAATTAAAGACTTTCTCATTGGACAGGATGTATACACGCTGCATAAGCCGGCTAGAAAGAAATATCCCAGGAATAAAATTATAGCTGTAGCACCTGACGAGATACATCAGTTGGATTTAGTGGATGTTTCCAACAACGGATATCGATTTTTACTGACGTGGATCGATGTGTTTACCAAATACGCCTGGGTGATTCCTTTGAAAAACAAAACTGGAAAGGTATTGGTGGAAGCTTTCAAAAACAATATCAAGTCTAGCGGTAGACCTCCGACTATGGTTCACACTGATAAAGGCAGCGAATTTACGAATCGTTTGTTTCAAGATTTGCTAAAAACAGAAGGCATCCATTTCTATACGACAAACAGCGAGATGAAAGCCCCCATTGTGGAGAGATTTAATCGCACTCTCAAGTCTAGAATGTGGCGGTATTTTACGTACAAAAATACTTTGAAATACATCGATGTGTTGCAGAAACTGGTGAAGGCGTATAATCATTCCTATCATCGTTCCATTAAAATGAAACCCGTGGAAGTCAACGGTGAGAATGAAAGCAAAGTCTGGAAACATTTATATTCCACGTCTAAAGCGCCCGTAAAATTTAAGTTTAAAGTCGGGGAACAGGTTCGAGTCAGTAAACAGCGGTTAACGTTTGAAAAGTCGTACCTCCCCTCATGGTCCGAGGAAATATTTACCGTGGCCGAACGCAATGGGCGACAAGAAAGACCGGTGTATAAATTAAAAGATTTTGTAGGCTCAGAAATTTCTGGAATTTTTTACGAGCCAGAGTTGCAAAAAATCTATAAATCGCCTGATGCTCTTTACAGGATTGAAAGAGTACTGCGTAAACGACGTAAAAATAAAAAGACCGAATATTTCGTTAAATGGTTAGGGTATCCTTCATCGTTCAACAGTTGGGTGACGGATGTTCAGCAATAAGGACGCAGTCATGGCATCACCTTCGACTCAGTTTTACGTAACGTTGCCTAGTAATTCATCCATGTCATTGTATCCAGACAATACACTGTCTAGTTACACTACACGTCTTGTGAAACAAATTAATCTGGCTGGTAATTGGGAGGTTGCCCTGACTGAAATCCATTACCCTTTCACTTGGTACAATATCACAGAAAATAACAATTCTTTTACGTTTAGCGAGCATGGTCTAGTACAAACCCACGCGAGAATTTCGCACGGATTCTATAAATCCGTACGGGAAATTATAGATGCAATTAATAGGGAGATGACAGAAGCAGCTAGACATAATATTAACATTAATTTAAATAATCACACCGGCAGAGTTAAGATAAAACTCAGACAGGGGGCGTTCATATATTTTGATGATCATCTGTATCGCATGTTGGGATTAAAACACAAAGCGGTTAATGAAAACAAAGAAGGTCACTTACCAGTAGACGTCAATGGTGGTTTTTACGGTATGTACGTGTACTGTGACATCGTCGAGAATCAACTGGTGGGTGATGTGAGCGCGCCGCTACTGAGGATCGTCCCGGTGCAGACGTCTGGAGTTACTCAGGGTGATGTCGTTGCCCATACATTCAGCACACCTCATTATGTGCCTGTAAAACGAAAACACTTTGAGAATATACAAATGAATATATTTACAGACACTGCTGAAAAAATACCATTCCAACGTGGGAAGCTCACGACGACACTTCATTTTAGAAGAAGTCGTCCCTCCTTGTTTTAAGCAATCATGATAGACTACGAGAGATATTACAAAAACCAAGCCGGAGGTGGGGACAATTTTTTTAGGGGTGCCCCCATTCAGAAAGGATACGGACTTGGAAATATTTTAGGCGGTCTTTTTAGATCCGCTTTGCCAATGATCAAACAAGGCGCAAAAATGCTAGGCAAAGAGGCTTTAAAGACAGGAGTTGGAATTGCTGCAGATGCCCTGAATGGACAAAATGTGAAAGCGGCCGCAAAGAAGCAACTGCGACAGGTTGGATTGAACATGACGTCACGAGTTAAAAAGCAGCTTTCGAAGAAATCTCCCAGTCAGAGAAAACATTTAAAAAGGAAAGCAACTGGTACATCACGCAGAAAGGCTCCGAGCAAGCGAGCGAAGAGGACCCTCGACATATTTGATTAATAGCAACGCTATAAACCATGGCATTCGTCAGCAAACACTCGTGCGAATGCACAAAGTCAGAATTAGATCTTTTCTCTCTACCCCCGACTCAGACCTCTATTTTAGGTGGGAAATATGTCCAGTTTAACCCTCTGACAAATATTGTGGACTCGGACTCGATAGAATTCAATGTCACTGGTTCGACCGAGCACTACCTGGATCTTGCACACACTCTAATCAACGTGAAAGCAAAAATTGTAAATCAAAATGGTACTGACCTTGGAGAGGGCGTTCCGGTTGGCCCAGCTAACCTGTTTCTGCAGTCACTGTTCTCGGAAGTGGATGTCTCGCTCAACGACAAGCTGATCTCGTCCTCATCGGACACGTATCCGTATAGAGCCTATCTGGAAACTCTTTTAACATATGGCCCTGCCGCTAAGACGTCTCAGCTGACTGCGGCCTTGTTTTACAAAGATACGGGCGGAAAAATGGAAGCCAACGATCCAACCGTGGAAGAGGATTTCAACGAAGGGTTAAAGAAAAGATATATGTTGACACGGGAGAGCCGAATTGTGGATCTTTTAGGACCGGTTCACTCCGACATATTCTTTCAAGATAAATTTTTACTGAACGGAGTCAGCCTCAAACTAAAATTTCATCGCAGCAAAAATAGCTTTTGTCTACTGTCTGCTTTACCCGATACACATTACAAAGTAAAAATTTTGGAAGCCTCTCTGTACGTGAGAAAAGTCACCGTCAGTCCCACTGTGGCTCTAGCGCATGCCAAAACCCTTCAGACTGCTACGGCAAAGTATAATCTTCGAAGAGTTGAAGTGAAGACTTTTTCGATTCCGCAAGGAAATCAATCTTTTACCCGCGAAAACTTGTTTTTGGGACAGATCCCTAGGCGCGTGGTAATTGGCATGGTAGACAATACGGCCTTTAACGGTGATTACCGTAAAAATCCCTATAATTTCAAACACTATGGATTAAATTTCATGGGTCTGTATGTGGATAACGAACAGACACCGTGGAGACCGCTTCAACCCAAATTCTCTGGAAAAGATGACGCGTACATGATGGCCTATCAGACGTTGTATTCCGGTATAAATACGCTGTATAAAGATTTTGGAAATGCCATTTCCAGGGAAGATTACGAAGGGGGCTATTCTCTCTTTGCATTTGATCTGTCTCCTGATTTGTCTTGTGGATCTAACCTTAACCTGGTAAAGCGCAGTAACATGCGCCTCGAGCTGAAGTTTGGAACAGCTTTAACGACGACAGTCAACGTTGTCATATACAGCGAGTTTGATAGCGTCCTAGAAGTAGACGAGAGCCGAAATATTCTGATTGATTACTCCAATTAAAAGACGACATGGATAGCGTGCAACTTTTACAAGTACTCAAGGGAGACAGTATTACTCGGCGTTACACGGCTGGCGTATTTCCGGCAGATAGGCTACCACCAGTGACAGAATACCCCAGTGCATTCATCATCAACACTGACAAGAGCAACGAGCCGGGCACCCATTGGTTAGCGGTGTACTTCACTCGGGACAGACGCGCCGAATTCTTTTGCTCCTATGGGCAACATCCCTATGTATACGGGCGATATTTTCAAACATTTCTAAAAAAGAACAGTTTACATTTTATTTACAACACAGTTCGTTTGCAATCCCTAAGCACTACAGTCTGTGGACAACACTGCCTTTTTTACTTACTGCATCGATGCAGAAATATTTCAATGAGCAGCATCATGTCAGTGTTTACGGATGACTACCTCATCAATGATGTGTTAGTGCAAGATTTTATAGAAGAAAAATATGATGTTGATGTACCCGTTTCAGATTTAAATTTCATTTGTCGTCAAAGTTGTATTAAGAAAAAATAATAAGCTATCGTGACTCAACACTTTTTGTATTTGTAAATATATATTATCATTTCTGTTATTCTTAAAAAAAAAATTGTGTAAAAAAAAAATTGTTCAGAAAAAAAAAATTTGTGTAAAAAAAAAAAAAAAAAAAAAAATTGTGTTTAGAAAAAAAAAATTTGTGTAAAAAAAAAAAAAAAAAATTGTATTTAGAAAAAAAAAAAAAAAAAATTGTGTTTAGAAAAAAAAATTTGTGTGTAAAAAAATAAAAATTGTGTTTAGAAAAAAAATTTGTGTAAAAAAAAAAATTGTGTTAAAGAAAAAAAGGGTAAACAAAAAACATTTGTATGTAAAAATATTTAGTCATTGTTAGTAGGTACAAAAAAAAACAGTAAAGAAAAAAAAAAGTCAAAGAATTTTTTTTTTTTCTTCTTAACATTTGTTCCATTATTTATTGCTTATGAATAAAACGTTTATTAATTACAAAAAATTCTTCTTTTTTTCAAGTTTACATTTTGTCTTTTCTTATTCTTAACATCACACAATAATACCTTTCAACTACTGATAACATACATGAAATGCAAACAATACAAAGTTTACGTATTAAACCTTTTCAATCAAAACAGACACGTCACTATATTTACAAAGTTTCCCAATTCAGTTTTTTCTTGGCTCTTAATGGAGTTGACACAACTCTAAG